AAACTTGAATGATAGGTCGGATCGAGACGGAACGGGAGACGTTTCGGCCGTGGTTCAGAATGCGACCGTGTCGAAAGACGTAAGTTTTGAATCGAGGATGCGGGAGATCGAGGCTCGGGATGGTCGGCTCGACGTACGGCGAGCTAGTTCAGCTTGGCTAGGTCGCCATATGGCGAACTAGGCGAAAAGAACCAGTGGGACAAAGTCAGTACCTCTTAGTTCGCCCATTGGCGATCTAGCTGGGACAGGACTAGTTCGCCAATGGGTGAACTAGTTGAGTGTTTCTTAGTTCGCCCATTGGCGAACTAAGCCGGGACAGGACTAGTTCGCCGATGGGCGAACTAGTGGAGTGTCCTTAGTTCGCCGATGGGCGAACTAGTGGAGTGTCCTTAGTTCGCCCATCGGCGAACTAAGCCGGGACCGGCTTAGTTCGCCGATGGGCGAACTAGTGGAGTGTCCCTAGTTCGCCCATTGGCGAACTAAGCCGGGCCGGCATAGTTCGCCCATGGGCGAACTAGTCGTGACTAGTTCGCGTTTTACGGCTGTTTCGGTTTTTTGCGGTTTCGTAAAACGATTCTTCGAGTTTTATAAAACGTTTCTTCGAGTTTTATAAAATGATTCTCGAGTTCTATAAAACGATTTTCGAGTTTTATAAAACGATTCTCGAGTTTTATAAAACGATTCTCGAGTTTTATAAAACGATTCTCGAGTTTTATAAAACGATTCTCGAGTTTTATAAAACGATTCTCGAGTTTTATAAAACGATTCTCGAGTTTCATAAAACAATTCTCGAGTTTCATAAAACGATTCTCGAGTTTTATAAAACGATTCTTCGAGTTTTATAAAATGATTCTCGAGTTTTATAAAATGATTCTCGAGTTTTATAAAACGATCTCTGAGTTTTATAAAACGATTCTCGAGTTTTATAAAACGATCTTTGGAGTTTTATAAAACGTATTTTTATTTTTACTTTTGCGGACACTTTTAGCCATTGATTCTGTCGTGACCGATTTTGACACCAACAGTTAGCCCCCCAGCTCGCTAGAATCTTGAGCTCCTAGCCTAAGGTTCTTGCGAGTGGTTCGCCAGTTTTAGTTAAATTAGGCGGAATTAATGGTTGGAATGGTCTGTTGAGAGTGATCTTTCCATTCTCCAGGGAGCGGAATGTGTTTAAGATTAGAGCTGCGCCTTGTGAAGGCTGCCTACGTACCCTTTTGAGGGGATCAAGCCTTTCGTAGTTCGTTTCAGAGTTAAGGTTCGTATGAACTGTTTCCTAGCAAGACCTTTATGGTCTAGTTATATGTTGTGTAGGAATTATCGAGCATATTGATGTCGATAGCATCTGGACCTTTGCCGGCTTTGAGACTAGCCTCGTAGGCCGTTTGGTCTGGCCGAGCGTGGCCGTTATAGTTTTTGGACTCACCGTGTGTGGCTCTGAGTCCCTGCCGCTTTGCGGCTTTATTATCAGTTTGCATTTTAAGAGCGTGTTTTTATTCGTATGAATGTAGAGGGAAGAATATGAGTTGTCGTCTCATAGTCTAACTCATTTTGTAGATCGCCCTGTTCGTTTGCCAGTTCCGGAATGTTTCGAAATTTGGTGAGCGTTTAGATATGAACGAAGAGACATGCCTTTAGGATCTCGAATCATGCCTTAAGACATTAGAGACCAGTGTGCTGGGTTTAGGGCAAGACCTTGGTTTAGTTTCGGTTTGAGGCTTTGCGATGACTAGTCGGCTTTCGTTTTGCCTGTTGCGATTTCAACCTGATTCCATACCGATTTAGAGTCCGCGATAGGTTCTCGGCTTATACGACTCGTCTTGTTGGAATCGAGCACCCCGAATGTGCTGACCAAAATTTTGGATTTCTTTATAGCGCTATTACCCTTGTGTCGGGTGTATGAGAGCTATCTCTGTGAGATAACTTAAGTTTGTTTAGGACTGTTGCGAGTTTGTTGTGATCAGCAACAAACTTTGGTGGTAGATGTTACCGTTTCTTGGACCTTCGCGAAGGATACGTATCTTAAGAAGTTTTGTATGTTTTATAGTCGCGGACGGACTGTTAGGTCTTCCAAGAAAATGACTTTATCGAGGAAGGTATTTATTGTCGAAAAACTAATCTCCGGGCGTCTGCGACGTCTCGCAGTGCCGAAAGTTGGTTTTTATTTTATACGCCGCGTTTCGTGTTCGGAACGTTTGCGGGCTCGAAGATGTTGCGCGGTGTTGCGAGGGTTTTGTCTTAACCCTGCTTTGTATGAAAATCTTGGTTCGTTTGCGTATATTCGCAATTAAAACTAACATTCCTGTTTGGATGTTAGGTAGTTTTATGATTTGTGCTAGAGCAATTAGAACCGAGAGGTCGCGTAAGTTGTTTCCCCGAAACGAAGGATTTTTCGTTACGGTGCTTTGTGAAGTGTTGACCTTCCGAGATTCGTACGGCATTAGGAGCTCTGGTACGAGTGTTTTCTTATACGTCGGATTTTGTAGGCAACTTGCTTCGGGAGTAGAGTGAATCGCGAGAATACAGAACTTAGCCGATTTTCGACAAGTTTGCATTATCCGTTGAACGTATTGGCTTGGCGTGAAGGTTGTGTTCAGCCGCACAACCAAAGTCTTATTTGGTAGAGGATTAGACCACGACACTTTCGTGCTATCGAAAAGATCGAGTCGGTTTGTAAACTTGGCATTGAAGCGTGATCGGACAATAGCCAAGTAACGTTTGTCGAGCTTGATATGCCAAGTATGCCCGTGGTTGTAGAAAACGTTTTTCCGTTGTAGGTTTGATTTATACGATGAAAGTTTCGTATAAACTTT